TGCACTACAGAAAGAGGGCCTTTGTATTCTGCGAGCTCTCTGGGGATAAATAAAAGTTCATAGAAATGGCAAGTGTCCTCGTCAGAAAAGAGAGCAGGGGAGGGGGAGCATGGCTTCGTGAGTAATTGGCCAAACCAGCACAATGGACGGAAAGCTAATTTTAAACAGGACTTGCTGCAAATGTAGCCGGACCAATACCCATCAGGCAATGCTCTTATGTTGTATATTATAAGCACACCTTAAACACTAATTCTGCAAAGCAAATGCCCCATAAAGACACAATAACCACACTAATGAGAGCAAGTTAAAACAAACCGGAATTATCCTTTAAACAGTCGTGACCAAGATACATCCTGACAGCGCAGATTGTGGATGTCCCCAGAAATTAACGCTACGAAGCTAGAAGCACTTCCGCACATGACTGGTGTTGGCACAGCACAGCGGCAGGAAGGTCAGAGGCCGTTCTGGTTCACCACAACAACGGCGCAAAACTCTGAGAGTCCAGCTGACAAATCATCTGCAGCGCTGCCACGATCACAACACTGATGATACTGTAAGCTCCTACAGCGTCACAATGGTTCACTGTTATCGTGTGAAAGTGCAAAATCACATGGAAGATATCCGGCGAGATTAGATAAATGAATTATTGGAGCAGAGGTGTGTGATAAGTTCACTTCTCTCTCTGTCTATAGGGTATAAAAACTAATCCAGAAACTTGGTGGAGAGGTGGAGGATGCACACAAGACGAATCCATAAACTTCTGGTGCAGATTCAAGCCAGTTTCATTAAAGATGCAAGACCGAGCATCGTCTGTCTACTCATCCCATCGTCCTCATACTTGTAGCCCTCCTCTCCCCACTGGCCAAACTGTCTTTGTACTCTTTGCAGTCAAGCCATTCTTGCTTCTAGTTTATATTCCTTAAATATTCCTGTTTCTTGTTAATCTTTTCGCCCACCATGTTCCCAGTACCCTGTTGGTATTGTTGGTGTTTGCCTGTCCCTGGATTTTGCCTCTTTGTTTTGGTTTTGGACTTACGCCTGTTCCCGGTGTTTTGGTTTTGTACCTAATTAGTGGATTCATGCAACAGCTTCCCTTAAAGTCCCTCACAAACTGATTTTGAGGACGATACAAAAAGCCCCACCCTGCGAGTTGACAGGCTTGTTTCCTGAGGTTTGTTTTATATAAAACCCTAAAAGTCTGAATCTCTGTTTCTCAGAGTGTCATCAGGTAACCGCAGTTTCAATAAGAAAACACTCAACCATGGTGCTGACTGCTGATTTCAATCATGATACGTCTTTTAGTGTGTACAGGTTGTATTTTTACCATAAGTTGCCTACAGATAAAGACATAAGTATGTGAATGCTGCAGTTAAAACCACTGTCTATATGTGGTATAAAGTTGGCAGCGCATGCTTGAGAAGAGCCTCGTTAACATTCTGACCATGACGGTGCTAAAATGCTGCCGTTTATCTCGTACCCTTCATCACGTGCGCCATCTTCTATCACTGCTAATAGGAAGGTTGAGGCTGACGGCGGTGTCGATAGATTTTAAAGGAAAAGGGAAAAAGAGATCAACGGAGTTATTACAGCTCACCCTGAAGGGGACTCGAAGGTCGGTTCTGAACACAATTCATCCATTAGCCACTCAGACGTTTTACAGAACACTTAAAATGTCAGCGTCAGAGTTTCATCAAACTGTGCAGATTCAACCTCAGGAGATATCAGCTTGCTAACAACTTACATCACTGCCCTACACGTCCCTGTAAGTGATGGGGTTACAAAGAAATGGACGTGCATGATTTCA